CAACCAAGCACTCAAATGCTAAGAGATACTTGGCACTTCCAGGAATCTCACTCTATGGTGTTCTAACTTCTAGGAATTGATATCAAGTGAAATTCATTCAAACTTCCAGACTTTGAATCATTCTTGAAGCATACTCTGGTGAGAAAAAATACACTACACAATTGGTTGACCAGAAGGAATAGGAATTAATTCTTAATTTTTTAAAGTTACCAAGAATGAATCCCTTCCCTGTAGTCAACTCAACATTGGTTATTGATAACTGCTCTGTTTACCACAGTGGGAAATTGGAATTCCCAAAAGCTATTTGATGAACATGGTATGTTAAATTTAGTGAAATTGATCATTGTAATGTCTTCAAAATTCTAACAACTGATCTCCAACAGGTGTAAGATTGATCTACCTTCCACCTTAATGGCCCAAAATTAACCCCATTGAAATGTATTTTCAGTTTCAAAGTCACATTTGCTCCACTCAAATAGTTTATTGAATTCAGATGATGAGATCACATCCATTTATCATGCTACTGCTACCATCATGGATGATAGATTGCGTTACAAAGAGTATAAAAGCAGTAGTTATCTTTTATAAATATAATAGTTTATTCTTGTATAAATCACCTTGGCTACATTCTAGTTATTTTTATCATTCAGAGTCTTCAGTTTCAGATTGGCTGGTCTCATAATGATCTTCTTGGTGCAAACTGGATTGAGATTGAGCCTTCAGATGTCCAGTAAATCTCTTGACATTATCGCGCAGACTCACAACTAATCCACATGGAAATTGGTATTTATTAAGGAGAGAGTGGACGTCCAAATTGGTTGCAAAGAGGTGGTTGTTGTTGATAAACTGCTTGTGGAAGAACCTACTGAGTTCTTTGTAGCAAGTATCCGGTGTGTATTCACAGAATTTGATGTACTTGCTGAGGGCAACATCTTTGCCTAGCCTGTAATATTCATTGAGATCACCTTCAGATTCAGATGATTGGCCTCATTGTTGACTGTGATGGTCGCAGGTCACCTGGGAAGGAGCAACACTGAAATAGAGACAAGACAAGATGGTATCAGGTGTTTATTTGTATCATCTCAGAATTTGAATACCCAAAAATACTGTATTTGTGTTGTCTCACTTTCCTAAGACAATCCACACGTATTGTCTTTGGAAAGTGAGACCGGTATGCTGTATTGTCTCAGATGGATGATCACACCAAAAACGTCTTTGATACAGATTATATTTGGCTGTATTGAAGAAAAAAGAAAAGAAAAAAACAAAGCAAAGACAATTTTTTTGCATCTGTAAATCCAAATCAGAGACAGTGGATCTTTTCACCAAAAAAGGAAATACTGATGACAGTATCAGGCTCAAAATAAAGACAATACAAGAGAATACCAAATATGTGTCTTGTCTCTGTTGCACTGTTGATCATGGGCTGAACTCCCACCTTAAATATATTTTTAACTACAACATTCATGAGAATTCTTGGCTCTAATCCTACCTGACTCACAAAGAAATCTCAAGCATTCTTTACCCTGGACAAACCTATGTATAACTGTCCATGAGCAAAGACTTGGTATTTCAATACCAAAGACACTTGACTAACAGTCTGATCTTGGGACTTTTTTATAGTCATTGAGAACACTATACATACCAGAAAATGATATCAATAAAAATCTATTTTTACCATCAAATCACCTTCATAATAGGACAACCAAGGCAAGGGCCACCTGTAGCAATGGCCAAGCGCATTGGCTTGGCAACAATGTAATATTTAGGATCCTGTTCTGGGTTGATTGTAGTAGTTAAGGAGCCAGGATCAGTGAAATGGAAGAAGATGGATCCATCAGGATTGATTTAAAGAGGTCCATCTACATATTGGCTTCCTTGGATGAAGTAAGTAGTGCTCATTGTGGGTGAAAGCTGAAATCTACAAGCAAGTTGAATGACCAGGGGATTAGGAAGATTGGTCAAGCAGAAACAAGCTTGATACAAGCGTTAGTTTATAATGTCAATACCTTCTGATTCATGATGGGTTCCGCCTCACATCCTACTCTTCACAGATTTGGCTAGACAACAAGCTAGTGAGTCAAAGACAAATTTTTCAACCGATTAAGCTGAATTATGTTGGCCTGAATCTCACAATTGACCTCAAATGGTTTGGTTGGTTGGCGTGGTTAAAATATTGGTTTGACAATTCTAATCAAGGCAAAAGGACAAAGGATAGATATTTATGTTGGTTAAGGACATTAGAAGGGGATGGCAATGGTGGGACCTTATAAAAAGTTGAAGATGCAAAAGGAAAATTAATTCAAATCAAGAGCATGAAGCATGGGGTTTTATGGTCATAGGGCAAGAGGCCAATGGTGGAGTGAGTTAGGTTAACAATCTAATCATAGCGGGCAGTAAAGGTGACTGTTGGGATAGTAGTATGCTTATATCCAGTGCATAGTATGCTTCAACTAAAACTCAAGCCATCATGTATATAGCCTGTACCTGATTGCTATGGTAGTGTTTCTTCCCCCAGTGAATCAAACCATATTTTTCTCACTCACCAAGTGTCACTGGCTTGTCAGCCGTGAACTTTGGTTCTTTATCCTGAATTACATGCAACCATGACAGAAGGGAAAAGTCAAAGAGTAGACTCAAGAGAGAAAACAGGGTAAATTATTGAGGGAAAAGGCAAAATGAAAATATGACAGCGGATGCGCAATAGGAAAAATTGACTGGCATGTTACAAATAGGAAACACTTCAGCCACGCCGGGGAACAGCAAGATTAAAGAACAAAAGGGATAGAGGAATATGTAAGAGAAGGGGTTCAGGGAGGAGAGTGGAAACATGGTTCAGCAGGACAATTGATGTCTCCTGTGCTATCACAAGTTGTGATTCCTGATTTCTGGGTGGGGTTGTGGGTTAAGGTTAAACCTTTTAATCTATATGACTTTGTTTTGGCCCCAATGTGGTGGTTTTTACGTGATGGCCCTTTTTCCCCTTTTGGGGGTGTTGCTTGAATGGGCACCTGTCTTGGTCTAACATCAGCATTGACAAATGTGAATTGGAGGTCGACACTGGCATCAGATTGCATGACACCTTG